GTATCAAACACTACCATATGGCTTACCCTCAAATGGTTTGTGTATGATCTATTTATCTATCTATCTATTTATCTATACTATATTCCTTTATAATTCTGACCAACAAAAAAATATTTTTCTACACAGGAATTTAAAAGTTAATGCAAGTCTTACAAATTTTAGAATGCAGGCATGGTTTTGCAACTCAAGAAATACTTTAATACTGAAGACATGAAGAATAGCTGAGTAGAAAGTCCGTAATTAGACCTTCACAATTTTCCAAGGAGGAGTATGGGCAATATAATGAGTAACAGCATAACTCCTCTCTGCAGCCTCTCCTAGAGAACTTGGAGTACCCTGCCAGCTTCCCTTGCAGCGGGACTGGTCACATGACCCAAGTGTGGACAATGAGACAAGAGAATTATTTGCTGAGGGCTTTTGGCAAAACCTGTGCTTTCTTGTTAAAAGGGACAGGCAAGAGGAGAGAATTCTGTCTTACCCCACCCCATTTCCCATCTCCTTTGTCATACATCTAATGTGATTGAGATGCTTGGAGTTTTTCAAAGCAAGCCTGAAGACACCAAGCAAAAGACAGCCATCAGAAAATACAGAATAAAAGCCTAGATCTTTGCTGAAACTACTGAGAAGTTGAACAAATGCCAGTAAGTGTTTACTGCTGTACATCTTTTTGTTGTTTTTTTGACAGGGTCTTGCTACGTAGTTCAAGGTAGGCTTGACCTCGCTATTAGTCCAGGCTGGCTTTGAGTTCATGGTGATCCTTCTACCCCCTCCAGAGTGCTGGGATTAAAGATGTGCCACTACACCCAGCTTGTTATACACCTTATTACCAGAGAAAAATAATTATTTGTGTAAGGCACTGAGTTAGGTATCAGCTACTTACAGGGGTACACATTACTTGTGCTTGCTTATTCAGGAAATGGAGAAAAGCAGAAGAAATTCAAAAAAGAGTAAGAACCAGGAGATGCAGCCTTGTGCAGAGGAAGCAATTCCAGAACAAGTGACTACTTAAAACTTAGACCATATGGCGTTGCTAAGTTTTCAAACAATGCCAAGAAGTAACAATTTTCACTAACAGCAGTTAAAATAAAGAACTTCTGTAAGAGTAAGTACTCTACAATGATTTAAGACCAGAAAAGGTCAAGACATCCTCTAATCAGATGCGTTTCAATGCAAACATCATTTCTGGGTGTTGTGCCAGTATGTATGTTACTGCCAAACTTCTAATTCAAAACCATATATAAGAATGCTTTAACTGAGACAAAGAAGTTAAAAATAAGACATTTAAATAGTAATCTCCCTACTCTCTCAAAGATAAATGTGCCCATTAACCCTGTATGTTAACAGAAGATTTCTTTTTCTTACATTGCACAAGACAATTTTTTAAAACTTTTTACAAGGAAGTCACCATGAAAAAAAAGTAGGTAATTGGTTCCTGATCAGCTGCTTCACGGAATTAAAATATAATCAGGTTCACAACTTTTAAATGAAAATACTAAAACATGTACTAAATTCCTCTGCATAAGATCCTGTGCAAACATAGGGAGGACAAGGGACAGCTGGCTGCAACAAAACACAAGACACCACATACCTTTTCATGGAGCTTAATATCTAGTTAGGGCAGGAAGAGATAAATGTGAAAAGTTAAATATTTCCATAACAGTTGTAGACAGTAGGAGATGTCATAAAACAGCATACGATTCATTGCCAAAAATACTATTGTGACAATCTTGCTGCTGCGGCATTTCAAAGAAAAAAGTCGCTTTAAGCCTGAATTAGACTTATGGTCTAGGGAAACTTTACAGAAGACAGAATCTCAGCTTAAAAACCTGTGGATGGTCAAAGAACAGAAGAATCTCTCAGAACCCTGGCTGAAGGCTAGAGATCTAGCTCCGTGATAAAGTGCTTGCCTTTAGCATTAACAAGGTACCAGGTTCAATCCTCAGCACTGGAAAAGAAAAATTCCTTGTTTAATACAGGAAATTTAGGAAAAAAGAATGCTAGCGGGCAAGTGAAGATGTGGACAGGACTCAGGGAGAACTGAAACTTCAGTTGGCTACAAAAAAATCAGGGCCACGCCCCTTTTCAAAGCCCCACACCTGTGAGACCTTGAGGCTCCACAGTGATTCCACTCTCAAGTCCTGAGCAAGTGGTGTACTTTTCTTTCAACAGAGCCTCTCCTCCAATTTTCTTGGAAATATTCAAATCATTTTAATGAAGGACTTTTACAATCTTCTGAAGTCTCTGGTCTTGCCAAGAACTAGGTTCCTGAAAGCTTTCACTTGCTGCCCTTCTCTTCTCTGGCTTTGCTGATGGATGCAGACACACAAAGTAAACACAATAAAGGGCAGATTATGTCTGCAAGGCTCAGGTACCTGGACAGATGGTTTAATTCAGTACAGAGGTTGGCAAAGTTGAGCTTCACCTAACCTTTCTAGTATCTAGCTATCTCCATTTGTTCTAAACTAGGAGCCATCAGAGAAGCCAGGGCATGGCGGGCATTCAGGAATTATTTGGAGAATCATATTCTCTTATGATAAAATGGCTTTAGACTTTCCCTACAACAAAAGGACTAATTCTGGGACACCTCTCATCTGACCTAAGCATGTTACACCTTTTCTTTTTTCTTTTTTTCTTTTTTTTGGTACCAGGGATCAAACTCAGGACCTTGTACTTATCAGGCAGGCACTTATGCAACTGAGCTATATCCCTAGGCACACCTTTTCCTTTAAAAGTGACCCATGCTCCAAAAAATCCTGGGCCCAGGGATATTTGGCTTGTACCTCTGCAACGGCTCTACTATAGCTCTGATCATCCTGGTTCCCAGATAAGAGAAGAGTTTGCAAAGCAACATCCCCTTGAATTGTAGTCCTTCCACTGGGCTTTAGGCAGCATTACAAGTACTAACTTATGGAAACTACCATTTTTAGACTGGGCTTCCTTTAACTATAAATATTAAAACGTATCAGTGTCACCAATAAGAAAACTACCTTTCTGTATTCTTCTGTCACTTCTGCAACAACTTCTTCATCCTAAATATTTTTACTCCTCAGGTAGATGTGGACTTTAGGAAAACCAAACATTATCCCTAGCCCATGGTAACTTCAGATCACTGCACAAACCTAAAATTTATTCATGAGGTTTTCTCAGTTACTACACTTAAACTCTTATTTTTTCTATCATTTTTAATTAGGAAAAGATTGCTAATGTATCACTTTCGTTGTTGGGTCTTGTTGGGCTTCAAGAAATCTTTAAGGGCAAACGCCTTAAAAAAAAAAAAAAAAAAGAGGAACACACCCATAAAATGTGTCAGGGAAATGAAGTTCCTATCATTTCACTCTCGAATTTTGCCTTTTAAATGTAGTTCTACCCACAGGTTAGTGAAAGATGGCTTCCTTACTGTCATTTATTAGCCATGACAGGCAGCAACGCTTCTCTCAGATACAGTCTCCCTTCACCACAATTATCTAGTAATGCCTGCGAGGCAAAAGGCTGCTCAAAACTTCTTCCTTCTGGAATGTTTTTCCCAAAGGCAACAGTTCAAAGCAAACCTCTATTAACTGGAACACTGACATTTGCAGAATTATCTGGACAGGACAATTCCACTACTCCTGGAGTGATAGCAGAAACTAAGACATAATTACCAGCAGTCCAGTCACTAGGAAATCAGCTCAGCTACACAGTTCAAAGGTGGAGGCCTTATACACCCACTCTGACAGTCTTACCAGCCCACAAACAACCCAACCACAGCCTGTCACTGCACACACATCCCTCTTAGAAGGACCCTTTCCTATTAAACTTCCCCAAAAAGGAAAAAAAAAAATTCTTTGCTAAAATTCAGTGTAGGAAGCTGAAACAATATATATAAGATAGTATCAAAACTAAACAAATTAGATGCACCACTAGCTTGTTAGCCCCTAGACATATTTGCAAATGTGACATAAAAATTATACAATCCTTGCTAACAGGGCTCACAACTTATAACTGTAGCAACAGAAAAATGGAACTATATTTTATCTTTTAGTCTCTTTACTGATTTCTATCTTCTTTTGTTTTATGCATTTTGGAGCACACTAAGGGCAAGGAGTTTCAAGGAGAAAAGAGAGACAGTGAATAAGCTCAAGAGGGTAGCAGAGGATGGACTTGGGAGCTGAAGCGTAATGGCAGGGGAGGAGCCTGCAACACATCAGACTGCCCAGTCTGAACTTAGGATGAGTGATACAAAGCCTTTTTCTAACACAAATCTGGTCTATACAAAATATCACCCAGCTTGGCGTGGTGGTACATGCATGCCTAGAATCCCAGGTACTTGGGAAGCTGAGGAGGATCACAAGTTTAAGCCCAGCTGGGTAATTTAGCAGGACTCTGTAGGTTTTACTTACTTGTCTCATTGCTGAGATAAAATATTTGACACCCAAAGTTAAAGGAAGAAAGGTTTATTTGGCTCACAGCTTGAACATGTTTCAGTCCATACTTGGCTGGCTCCAAGGCAGGATGGCCTGGCAGAAGAGAAATAGTCCATGGCAAGTGGGTAAGAAAAAGCACATTACCCGTTTTCTGTCCCTTATATTTTATGCAGGCTACCCAGCCTAGAGTGGGTGTAGCACTCACACCCTTAATCCTAGCCAGAACTGTGCCAAGCCAATAGGTGGTTGACTATGTTTTGAGATACCCTTAATCCCAGCACCACACCCTCTAGATCCAGCCACTTCTGAAAAGGCACCCCCTCCCATAAATGCACGAGGATTTGGAGGGTCATCTAGACATAAGCGATAACAGTCTCAACATTTTAAAAAGGGCTTCAAATGTAGCTCAGTGGCAGACCACTTGCCTAGCATGCATGAAGCCCTGGATTCCCACCCCAATAACATAAATACAACCAAAAAATCCATCATTCATCCACCCTAGGAAAACACCTTAGGAAGCACTAGTACCTCAGATTGTTCTCTAAGCATTAAACCTACATAATGTGCTTCACAGGAAAAAACAAGACAGAAACAGAATTAAACATGTAACTGTTGTAATATAAACATGAACATACTTCGGTGTGGTAAATTTTAATAAGATTTTAATAGTAGCAAGGAGCCAAATCATAAAATGTCCTAGAGCATAGAGTACAAAACCTCAGAGACAAAATAAAAATTCTTGAAAATATAAGGGCATTCAAAAAAAGGTAGTAACTTTTAATATAAAGAAACCATTTTCTTAACAAAGGTATCAAGCATGTTTAGGGTGATGTTTAGGTAGATGAAGGCATGTTGCCAGCACAAATGAGCTTCCATCACCAACAGACCTGGAATAAACCGCCTCCAGGTGGGCAGAATTCTCACAATTCACTTGCAGGATAGGAATTAACTTAATCTCTGGTTAGGGAGCACCCTTGGAAATGAACCATGTTGGCATGCAGAGGGAGCAACCTGTTTCTACGCAGCAGAAGCAGCAGAGGTGGGGGGTGCCCAACACCTCCCACCGTGCAATCCCAGCTGCTACAACAGCAGGGCGTGGTCTAGTGGGGTGGCAATGAGACAAGCTGTGCCCTCTGGGAACCATTCATTACTCAGATAAACTAAATGTAACAGCTCCATGTGACCAACAAACCAAAAATAAGAGGCCAGAACAATAGGGGTCCCACCCCCAGAGGATGATGTGCCACTACCCAGCATGTAAAAGGATAGCAGGAACAGAGGAGATATTCCTGGTTTAATGGTGCTGATCATCTGTCAGGACAGATGTGCCATCCGATCTAGGTTTTCTGGTTGGGTAGGTAGGAGGCCTCCCTCAAATCTGCAGAAAAAATTCTTTAATGCTACTGTCATTTGGGTGCCATTTTTTCCCCAAGGGCATTATATGTCATGCTTCACTTGGGCCAGATGTGCACATCAGTGTGGCTGCCATACCCGTGAAGAACACAAACAATTATTTATGTGTCCTTACAGCACACACGCAGAAGTGGCTACTGAAATGTAGTGGATGACAGAGGGGCAACGCTCTTCTGCAGACCAATCAGGATCCCAGTGAACCAGGTCACAAGGGAAAAGACACCCTTACTCCAGCCTTGTGTGACAGGCCATCTGCAGGTTTCCTTATTTCCAACCCTAAATCAATAGTTTAAACAGATGTAGATTCCGTGTGACAGGAGGGACAGTAGAGAGATTTGAGGCTTTATATTCTTTACATGTCTACTTGTGCTGGGCTGGCTATTAAAAAGTTACACGCAACTTTAAGATGAAAGGCAATAGCAGCTTCTTAGCAGAGGAGAGTCCCAAACTTCTGTAGATTTAATGAGGTTGAACTCACTGAAGCTTCTGACTCAGTCGGTTGTTAATTGAATCAAAGTCAATAACAATCTTGCTGCACCTGGGTGTGAATTTCCTAAACACAAAAACAAAATATATAAAGATATTATGTGTAGTTAAAGCAATTTGTTTACTTTGGCTAAAACTGTATTTTCTGTGCAGAGAAAAGAAATGTCCTGGGATTTGCTTGATTATTTTATCTCTATATGAACCAATTATAGTGTACCATACCGAGAGAAACAGGGACCAGAAAAGACTAAGACAAAAAAGATGCCTGGGGTGGCCTGGTATATATGTTCTTCAGCTGTCTGAGTTCATGAATTATCTGGGAGTCAAAGGAGTTCTAACAATTTAGCTGCACAACATAATATCTAATTACTTGTTTTCCCATCAGATTTATCTTATTTTCTAGGAAATTTCTACAGCCAACTTGTAGTTGCTCCAAAGCAAAAGATTAGTAAATTTTCTTTTGCCTCTTATATACAGCAAAAAACAGGTAGCTTTAGTGAAGAGTAATTTCTTAAAACTATGTTCTAAAAATGCAAATGTTTTTGTACTCATTAACCTTTTATTCATTACTTATTATTTCTATAATAATTTAAAAAATTGCAACTAAATATATATTTTAGAAATCAGTCAAAAATAGTCAAAAAGAGAGTACATAAATAACTTGGATTTAAAATCTCATAAAGCACGATAGTTCAAAAGATTTATCCTATAAAGCCCTAATAATACAAGGGGCTAGGTATATTACCCACTGTAACAGTCCTGCCACTGCACACCGTAAATACCATAAAGCTTTCCGTTCTCAAAGGAATTTTCTGCCATTAATCAAAGATGGTCAACTTACTTGCAAGTAAAACATACCACAAAAATCTTTGCTCAGCAAAGACAATCATAAAAATCCAAGACATCTAAGCTTAATTTTAAATGTTGTAAAAAAATTCCTGGTGATTCAACCAGGTTGCTTTCATCTGAAACTACCTAGACCAGAGTTGTTATATTTGCAAAATTTATAAACGTTTACCATCACTACTATATTTGTGACATTTAAAATTTCTTGATACTTGATTAGTCTAAACTATGGAAAGTTATTATTAAATATAATCATTAAACACATTGTCTTCAGATATTTCTAACACTACTCCTACAAAACTACCCCTAGAATAACCTTCACTTATACCATGACATTTCCAAAGGAATTTCCAAGTGTGAAAGTCAGGCATCAGAGGGAGAAACTGGATATCAAACAAGGTCATATATGTATCTGGATCAGCCCTTCAAACTACCAATTCCTCTGAGTTCTCCCAACTTACCTGAATGCAACCCCAGCCATCTCAAACATGAGTCTTGCAGCTATTGTCTCATCACTGTCATGGTATTTATCAGACATGAAAATAACTTCTTTTATACCTTAAAAGGTAGCAATGGAAGTTCCATTAGTAAATGCATACGCGGTACTATAAAAGACAGAAGTAGATGAAGTCCTTGTAACATCCATGATTAATTACTTTTTTTAAGTGTGCTTGCAGACAATGTCCAGTTACTGAACTACGTATCTGCTGCTTTCTAATACAGCAGAGGGTGGACTATTTAATCTGCTCTCCAGTCTTCATGAATTTTTTTTTTTAACAAATGCAAAGTGAAAACATGTCAACGCAGTCAAGTCTTAATCTGGTTAACAAATTTTCTCCTTGCAGGTAAGCAAATATTCTTTATGCACAAGGCAACTATTCGAAGGGTTGATGTGGGGAGTAGAGGGTGCTGGCCAACTCAGAGATTAGCACCACTATGCTCCCCAGAGGGGCTCTGAAGACCAATCTGGCCCAGCCCTGTGCAGTGCAGATCTGCTTCCTTTTTCTGATCTCACCAGACAGCATCAATAACCGGACAGCTGGGAGTTCTGAGTGCCCTGCACTAAAGGCAGCTCCTCCACTAGCTTCAGAAGGGACCCAGAAGCTGCCTTCACAGAGCACAGGCTGTTCAGTGCCCATACCTACTGCCGCCTCAGTACCTGGGGATGGCAAAGGAAACATCCCAAAAGCTTTAGTGGCAGCAGCCATGCGGGAGCCCAGGCTGTTTCTTAAGGGCAGTTTCTGGTTTGCTGTCAGCAGACCTCTTCTGGTCTGAGATCTACAGGGTTTGTGATAAACAGCCCATTTAAAGCATATATCTGGCTAAACACGCTAAGTCTTTAAATCTCAAGCTGAGAGCTTTATGGAGATGAAGTGTAGTTGAATCATCGTAGATGTGACTATTTGATAAAAGTGAAATATTCAGAATACAATGGTATGGATTTATGGTAACTGTAACATAAGAAAAACTTGGAGTACTACCATTTCAGTCCTATGACATTTATATGCAAAGATATGCTTAGAACCTTAAATATCTACCAAGTATTAGATACAAATTAAAATTTGATATAGACTCCCAGCTGACCTTGTTTCTGACAGAAGTTCGTTTCCCTTCCTCCCCTCTAATCTATGCACAGTATGTCAGAGAATGGTAAATTGACAGTAATTATATGCAAAGCCTGTGTTGTTTTTTGGCAGCTTGCAGTTTAAGAAGTTGCAAAGTAAATTAAAAACATGCTAAGAATCACAGAGGATGCAATTAGTCTTAGAATACCTGGCACCATTCAAAAACAAAACACAAGAAATATCTTGTAAAGTTGATACTGCAATTAGTTTAGATCTAAACAGTAACAATTTAAGCTCAAACACATCTGCAATGAGCTACTGATGAGCAGGCAGCAATGCAAATATACAATTGGAAAGGATTGTCTCCTACCTGCCTGGATGATGAGCTTAGCACATTCATTACACGGGAACAAGGCGACATACATGCTACAGCCTTTCACGTCAGCCGAATTCTTGTTCATAATGGCATTCAGCTCAGCATGGCACACTGAGTTTGAAAAGGAAGCAAAAAACATTTAGATTGCATCTCATGAAGAATTTACCAAGTGTTAAGCATTTTATTCCCCCCTCTGAAATAACATGTAATAGGCTCAATAAAAATAAATTGATTAGAAAGGCAAGTACTGAGAAAACTGAGTGAGGGCCACGTGATCTGCCTGGGTTGGCGATTAGCAGGGAAACTGTTCACCGCAGCGGCCCTTGGTCTCTAAGTACCTAGAGCAGCCAGGAGGGGCTAAGGTCAAGTACCTTCACCCACTCTAAGCGGAGCAATAGCTCACTGCTCCACAAGACCCTGGGGTATTGAATTGCCCACATAAAATGGCTCATTTGTGTGTTGATATGCACACACAGGGATATTCAGTCTGGCCATTAACAGGGCAAGGAGCAATAAGAGCAAGAGAATCAAGAAGAGAAGCTGAGCATTTCTATCCTGAGGGATCTGCTTCACCTCACCATTCTCAGCACTGATGCACAAGAAAAATACCAGCAGACAGCCAGCAGTTCATAGTTCATAAGAGAAACATTCCTCCACTTAATGGCAATCAACGATTAATGCAATTAGTCTTAGAATACCTGGCACCATTCAAAAACAAAACACAAGAAATACCTTGTAAAGTTGATACTGCAATTAGTTTAGGTCTAAACAGTAACAATTTAAGCTCAAACACTGGCCCATTTCACCAACGATCCAAAGTCATCCCCATGCTTGCCTGAGTTCAAGGTCAGAGGGAGAATCTTCCTCTCTCCTACACCTGTCAAAGCTGATCCCCTTTTCAGCCCAGTCTGGCCAGCTGTTCCCATCACCTAATCAGAGGATGTTCTCCCTCAGGAGGGAATCAGGACTACAGCAGAAACCTAGCTCTGCTCACACTGCTCGGTGAAGTTTCTGTATCCTTCAGAATTACTGAATTTCTGGCTGAATCATCTAAAACTATATTATACACTCCTTATTGTAGGGACTCAAACTTGTCCCAGTAAGGGCTTCCAAAATACTAAACATCTGTGTCCTATCCTGGAAATATGATGGTCTGGAGTATGGCTGGTATTTTTAAGGGACTTCCTAGGTAATTCAAATGTGCTTATACAAGTTTAGGAAGTATTGCCTTGTGAGATTCCTCAGTCTCCCTCAACACATACTTATGCACGCAAGTGCTAAAATGTTTGTTGAATGAATTAATGAATATCTGGATATGGGCCAAATCACACAAAATTCCTAGAGTATAACATGTGGGACCTTTAAGGGTTCTCACTACCCTCTCCAACTACCAGCCTGCCACACTAGCTGGGCACCTTTTCAGTAGTTCTGAGGCCTTACATGCATGACTCCCATACATGTTTGTCAGGACTTCCTCTGTGAACACTGCACACTTACTAAGTATCTACTCTGGGTCAAATAGGTGAAGGTCCTGTGCCACCTTCCTCCACCAGCCTTCAGTTTGGGGTGTTTGTGTCCTGCAGCAGTTTGGTAATGCTGCAGGTTGAAGGTGAACCAAGAGCTCTCAAAAAATGTAATACGTACTTAATGTCCTTATTTTAGACTAGGAATAGCATGTTTTCAGAGGCCTCAGTCATGTGTGAAAATGAACTGAACAGTGTCTGGTATTGCAGGGAAATCTAAAGGAACAAGCTGCACCTAATCAAATCATGGCCCATCAGAGAACAAACATGGCTGGCCACAGAGGGACCTCTGCCACATCCTCAAAGACTTAGTAGCCTGACAAACTAGCAGGGCCATGGGAGGACAAGGACAGAGAAATGTGCAGAAAAGGCAGCAAGGCCAAGTGGACACTGGCCTTGAGAGGCTCCCTCAGTGCCTTTTGCCCAGTGATCAAGATGTTCCAGAAATGGGCATTAACACTGCTCAATGTTAGAAACAATTAGAAGTAACTGTTTCTTTTATTTCCCTCTGGAGGGCAGAGCCCAGCCTTCTAGTTCTTTGTAACGTCCCCAGGGTCCAGTGCAATGCCATGAACATAATGGGTGTTAAATATTTACTGAATGAATAAAGAAGAAAATGCAGATTCCAATTATTGATAAAAAAAAAATACCAAAAGTCCTCTTAAATTCAAATATCAAAAATAGGCTTTTCCATCTAATAAATACTTTTATGGTACTGGTATTCATATCCAGAACACAGTCTCTGAATCTGTTATAAAACACTACTTTGATGTCCTCTTTTGAATCCCAAAGAGTTGTCATACTGGCAATGTTCCTCTAATTCATCTAGGTAATTTGGAGCAAATGTAACAGCACAGGTCTGGATTCATTAGTGAAAATTGTTGTATGAAACAGATTCTCTTGGGCAGTATCTTGTGTCCTCATGTATGAAGGGTGGCTGACAGAAATAATACACAGGTGAATAAACAAACTTCATTTCTCTTAAAAAAAAAAATCACTAGATGCAAAACACAAAGCTTCTTGTTAAAAAAAAAATATTTATCAGTTCTGCTGAGCACTATGAACACATGAGAATCAGGTACACAGGAGGTTCTTTATAAGGAACAGCTCCTGACTCACAATTCCACACACAAAAAACTAGACAGTGCCAGGGACAAAACTCAAGTGCCCAGCCTAAGGCCTAAGAATGCACCCAACCCTTAATTTCTCTTATTCAGTCCTGCACTTTCAATTTCAGAAATGACAAACACTGGCACCTTGGCCCCCTGGCTACACCTAAGGCAGTGGTGGTGAACCTATGGCATGCGTGCTGCAGCAGGCTGTTTGTTATCACTGAAAGCTCTGAAAGGTTTGCAACCACTGAAAGGGGTTAAAGGGAGAAGCCCCATCCAGGGAAGCGCTGACCCTCACTCTGGCCCTGCTCACCTAGTCCCCACCTTGTAACTCCCCACATGCTGTCCCAAAGCTCAGGTCCCAAAGCTTAACCTTGCCTTTCTGGCCTGACATTTGCCCCTCAGGACCAGAGTTTCCTGACTCCAAACTTTCTTTCATAATCCCTTTGTATGCCCCTTCTACCCAGGTCCCTAAGCCTAGCCTCACCTTTCTGTAACTTAGCCGTCACCCTGTAGTAACTCAGTCCTTAGGCCCAGACCCCTGTATTTTCCTCAGAAAAGAAACGGAGCAGACCAACTTGACCATTCACTCAAGTTGCTTCACATAGGGCTGTCAGGGTAGAGTACCAGGAACTCATTGCTTAGACTGGCCTTCTACACTGATCAAATAACAGGGAACCAATAAGTTTGCTTCTGGCCACAAAGAGCACTTAAAATTAACATGCCTGGTATGTGCTGAGTTTGCTCCTGGCCCTGGTTAGCCAGCCCACAAGGCCATGCACCTTTGTCCTTTATACTTTCCACCTCAGGAAGCAGGTATGGACAAAGAATGCGCTACAGGGGTTGTACCAGAGTTCAATCAAGGTTAAATGTGATCTTTGACAAGGTGCATACGACCTTTGACAAAGTGACTTTGGGGTTTACACAATTAACACTGGCTCTGTGAAAATGTATTTCCAACTAACATAAAAGCAACTGTAAAAATACCAAGTACATCGATTTTTAGCCTTTTCCTCATGTTCCCAGTTTCATTCTGTGGGCCTCAAGAACAGTTGATCTTCTCTAGACAAGCTTCCACCAACAAAACACGGGTGTTCTCTCCTGATGCCAAATGCAAGATGCCGGCTCACTCCCCGCAGCTTTGAGAATGCTGCTGCTCTCCACTCCATTCTCCTCCTTAACCATGCACACTTAGTCCTCCTCCTGCACAGGTCATCTACTCAACATTTAAAGACTCTTTTTTTCTTTTTTGGAAGAAATCACCATTTCTATAATGGCTACTCCAATTTTTTAAAGTAATTATTTCTTGACTTTGTAATGTAGACATAACCTCTAGCTTTCTTTAAAACAATGTTTTTTTTCAAACTGCAAGTCATAAAATCAGTTACTCTTTTCTTTTTTAATAAAATGCATAAGGGCAGAGATCAGAATGCATCCCACAGGCAAGGTTAGGTACTGCTCCTCAAAACTTATGTGTGCTGGGCCACTATGTAGAAAGTGTGGGAACTGCTACCCTATGGACACCTGTTGGCCTCAGTGATATACTGGTATGAGTGGACAACCAAATATTTCTAAAAACAAACAAACAAACAAAAAAAAGAATCAGTCCTGTGGTGTATTCCAACTTCTATGGTATAGATACTCCTAATGCGTGGAGTGGGAGGACACATGCACAATTGGCTCTGGTGAGCCTGCTCTCCCAAGTGTCACTGATCGTTACCGAACCTGAAGTCTCTTTCTGGTTGTAATCTTTAGCTTCACCAGCTCTCTTGACTCTTGATTAGTAGACTAATCTACGACCTCTTAGGACTCTTTGTGTTCTGCTTTTCTGTGAGTCCTTTTCTTTCTCTTGCTTGTTTGGGCACCACCCAAGGTTTAATCCTAATCTTCAATTTTTCTCCTATACTTACGAACTTTAAGATCTGATCCCAGATCTATTTCTAAAATCCTGAAATCTGCATTTCTCACCTCTATTTCCTACTACTCAAGTCTTTTTTTCTTCAAGGAGGAGGGTGATGTCTGGGCATCTGCTCTTTTTCTCAACATAGCAAACATTCCATAGGTACTTGACCACAACACAGAATAACTGTATCTTTCCCTAGTCCTGACATTTTCACTGTGTTGCCTAAGAACTGCAGCAAGTGCCAAAATATACTTGTGTGCAAAGCCAACCAAGGACTGGTGTCGTTAAAGCATAGTTTTTATATTCATAGTAGGAATAGGGACCAAGAATTTAAAAGATACAGTGTCCAAGAAGTATTCATAAGATAAGCTACACAGCCAAAACAGATTTATTTTCCAACTTATTACCTACAATTATACATCACTGGCTAAGCAATAAGTGAAGAAATCTCCACATAATACATGTGCATTTCACAGGCACAAAGACCTACGTAAAACCCTTCAATTATTCCCAACATTGTTTAAAAGAAAAAGAATCAAATGGTAAAAAATTAATGCTTATAAAGTTCTTGAT